TTTAAATTCTAAAAACATCCAATCTTTAAAACATCAAAATCTTGACAGAAATAATTTTTTACATAGTTTAAATCTTTTAAACATAAAAAAATTAAGAATCGCGTATAAAAACTGATGTCCAAACTACAGTGGCGGCTTGTGGCAGGTGGTTGTAACCAAGGTGGATCGGAAAAACTTCAATATATATGAAAAAGAAAATTAGACCGCCCATCTCGACCACTCTCGTAACTATTTTCCTAATCCATCATAATGAGTAAACAAAAAAATCAATCCGTGAATATCTATGTCTTACGTCAGTTTTTATATGGCGTTACAATGAAAAAACAGCTTTTACATACTCTAGATTACAATGTCCATGAGCGGATACTTGAAAACTGTTACTTTTTTTAAAGATAATACCATGATTTTAACAACGACGAAAACCCTTATTTACGAAAAGTTTAGAGCGAATTGCTAGCAACAGTCACTTCGATCTCCTGTAACACTAAATGCCTTAAGAGAATCGACTTGTTGTCTCATAACGATACGCAGTAGAGCCCTCCTAACAATATAAGATGGTTATGCATACGAATGCACCAATTTTTTTTTTACTTTTGGCCTTGGTTTTCCAAAAATTGGCCACTGTGCAGCGCTTTAAGTAGCTCGCAGAAGAACATGAAGCAGAACATTTTATTAGTCAACTCAAAGATGTGGAATATGATGGACTTGAAAATGTTATATATTGTAAGAAGAAAATGAAAAAATAACAACATAACAACATAATGCGCTAATGGTTTTCATTATAAAATAAAAAGAACAATTACGATAAAGTCTCCTTTAACAGTTTACATTTTATACATATATTTTTAATAAAAGAGGCACCAAAATTGTGGGATTTCCAATATGGTCATTGGTTAAGGGGACGGTGGGCGAAGAGGAGGTCCCTAGGGACCCATTACAAAAATGGCCAAAAATCACAATGTTCACTTGCGTTTTGCTGCTTTTTTCGCTTGAAAAAGGCTGAAACAGAAACATAAATACTCATTATCACTATTATTTTAAGAGTCTCTCATATAAACATTTTTTTAAGAATATTGTTTAGTATTACTGCAAATTATGTATTAATTAAAAACGCTTTACAAAATTTCCGCGCCAACGACTAACGTGCAATAACGATTACAATCAAGGCATAACAAGGTAGAAGTGATTTCGACATTTCTCTCTTTTGAACTGCGACTAAAATGTCAATTCTTAACCCTATGCTATTAAAAATTTCAATTTTTTTAATATAAATTTTCAATTGTGAGCTGTGCGCCTGATTTTAAATACATAATAAAATGAAACGGAACTAGGCGGTATGTTGTGTTTAACAAGAGCCAGGACAACAAACTTGTGCGTTATTTTAGAACTCCGAAGTATCAATACTTCATTACGACACTCTTCACGTGTGCGCGAAGACCATTTTAGTGCCAGTGACTTTATTTGTTGCCCATCGCAGGCGGGTATTTCTAAGCGGACGCGTTTGTTCCCAGGTGCAGGAATTATTATACCGAATATGAAGAGAAAATCTTCCACTCATATACATGGATAGACCAAATTTGAAATGGTGGTCAAATAAAACCTAAACCAGAATTCCTTGTTGACATAAAGAAACTGAAATTAACTTTTAATAAATTTAATGGAAAGGAAATTTCGAATTGCAAAAATTTAATAGCTGAATTATTGGAGTTAAGTTTTTTAAATGTCTAATATACTTTAAAATTAAGTATTTGAATAAAAAAAAAAATGCTATTAACAGCAAGAAAATTGCCAAAATGGGTTTATAAATGAGTGTGTTTCACTTAGTGTGTAATTTTGTGTAAGTATGTATTTCCACATTTACATTAAAACGAAAATGCAATACTTAAAATGAAGCTGATTCTAATGAGATTTTAAAAATTTCCATATCTACAAAAATTTTCATTTCAAAGATATTAGCCCGCAGTTATAGTCAAAATAAAGTCGACTCTAAAGTTAAAAGCCGCTTTTTTGACAGATATTCCATTGAAAGTTATGTCAAAAAGCTGCTTTTAACTTTAGGAGTCGACCTTATTTTGACTATAGCTACCGTTCGTTGAGTTTTATCAAATATGGTAAATGCATAACAAAGGGTTTACATTTTTTGACATTACAGTCAGCTATGAGAGAGCTCGACTGAATTGTCACTTCTACCTTGTTGAATATGCCTTGATTACAATCAAGGTGTATTAAACAAGGTGTGATTGACAACTCAGTGCGGCCCTTTTATAAGGCACTATAATGTCAAAAAGTATAAACAAACGAATTAAACCTTAGTGATGCATGTATCTTATCAGCACTGATGTCCTAGGCTTTTATTTCGATTATAGTTTTGTTTTACTTACATTACTTACACCACATATATTTTGTCAATAAAATAAAACAAATTGTTTATAAAATCGTTTTATCAATTTTCTTGTTTTTAATTGTCGTAGTTTTATGCTTTTGCGCGTTTAATTATTTCGGTAAGCCGAAATATTTCTGTTCGCAACGTGCATTCTAAAGAGTCGTCTGTTTGAGTTTGGGCATCAAAAAAGAATGTATCCTGATCGTGTACTAAATTCTCACTTGTATCAATTTTTCCGTATGGCATTGGGACTGGGCATGGGTATGAACGAGCTCGTTGGAAAGTGTTTGATTTGCACATCACTTTCCTTGAAGTGGTGTTCAGAAACGCGAGATGAATCACGTAGTACAACACCAAAGCTTTCTTCCCATCGCTGCCGTCTTAATTCGCAACTAGGTGGTTTAAAACATCGCACTATTTTCGTGACCTGACTTTTATTGCATCGTTTCATCTTGGTTCCCTTACATTAAATATTTAAGCAAAGTCGAACGTATTTACTTATTACCAAACTTAAATGTACTTACTTGCACTTCTCGGCGGTTTATCTCTTAACAATTTCACGTTTATTAAGAAAGTTTGCTTTGCTTGAAAAATTTGTGTGTATTTTTTTTTTATTCAAATTTGAAAAAAAGCACATTTTCAAATGGGTTAACAATTCATTTCAATTTGACATTATAGCCTGTTTCTTATGAGAGCAATGTCAAAATCAATCACACTTTGTTGAAGAAGAGCTTAAAAGAAAACGAAAAAGCACCCAACCAACCAAACAGAAAAGACCTAAGCATGTAATTTTTTTAAAGCCCGGTCCTTATCTGCGGGAATAGAAAAGACCTAAGCATGTAATTTTTTTGAAGCCCGGTCCTTTTCAGCGGGAACACAAAAAAGAGAATTCTACTTAGTGAGGGTTATAATCCCTAAGTGCGGCCTTAGCCCGCCTACGCAGAAAGGTGTTCTCTGCAAAAGGTGTTCTGCGACACAGAAAGGAGAATTCTACTTTGTGAGGGTTATATTCCCTAAATGCGGCCTACGCAGAAACTTCTTCGCGAAAATACTGTGGGTGTGGGTCGTTGGGTTAACCACCCACCTCTTCTTCATTCGGTGTTTTGCCAGTTCAACATTTGTTATTTTGTTACATATTCTTGAAATATTGTTTTTATTATCGCTAATATAAACTTTAATAACTAAATTATAAATTTTAGTACAATTCCAAGTGTTTCTGCGTTCTGATACATGTCAGTGCTTTCATTTGCTTAAAACAAGGGAAAACGCAAGTGAAAATTGTGATTTTTGGTAATTTTTCTAATGGCTCCCTAGGGACCCCCTCCCCTTCCGCCCACCGCCCCTTTAACCAACGGCCATATTGGAAAGTTTCCCCAAATATGGGAAAGAAAATACTCCGATGTATTATTTTAATAGTATCAAAATGGCAAGGCCGTTGATAATACTCACAATTTTTGAAACTTAAAGAAATTTTATTATCCGTCAAAAGTTGTTTATTGAAATCAAGGCACATAAATACAGGTAGAAGCCAAAATGACGTTGCTCTCATGAGAACCAAACCTTTAAACTTCAACTTGTTTTTCATTTATTTCCTATATTTCGTTACGCTTTGAATGTCATATCGTTGTTTTTTTTTTTTGAATGTTCGTTAATAACAAATTTTAATTAACATTTGAATTTTGTAGTGTTGTGCAGTTTATACTTAATGTATGTGTTAAAAATGCAACACCGAAGCGTTGTTTTTTATGTGGTGTTAAATATGAAGCAGATACCATTTAACGTGCCTCAATGTCCTTCGCGTAAAGAGCGTTGCGAAAGCAGCTGTGGGCCAGAGCTGCAGCGAAATGCCTTGCTGTGCGTTAAACATTTTAAAACAGCAGATTTCATAAATGCACCGGGAGGTACAGGAAAGGCACGTTTGATGCCAAGTGCTGTTCCTATGACCCTTATGCCGGAAAGTCCCTCCAACAACACTGCAACTCATAAATTAAAAACATAAAAAAACATACAAATTAACAAATTTCATCTAAAGAAAAATAAATAAATAGAAACAAAACTTCAAATTTACTCAAAAACGTCAACCAGCGAAATGTAATTTTTTATTTTTCCTTACACACGCTCATTTTTATTTTTACTCTCCCGAAAACTTTGACTTTTGTAGGTTTGATGTCAATTTGGCTTCTACCTGTTTTTATTGTACCATGGTTCTACCTTCCTATATTTTTATCATGGGTTTAAAGTAGGCATCCAGACAATTATAAAGATAATACACTATTCAGCAACCGCCGTTAGTGTAGTTTGCCGTGAATTTCATATTATTTACTGAAATATCCAAATAAAAACCAATTTTTCATAATTCTGCGATTTTTTGTGATTATGTATTGCCTCTTTTCCACAAATTAATCAAAACGTAACCGAATCGTCTAATTTACTGTCTTGGAATAATCGAAGACAATGAGAGAAGTGTGAATGTATTAGTAAAAAGTGTGAATGTATTGTCTTCGTAAAATCGTAACCCCAAGTTAGACTCAGAGGTGTACCGCGATCTTTGTTTTTTTGCTTGTAGGGTGGTACGTTCTAATATACAAATACATACATACCTATGCTTATTTACAAGGCAGCGTATTGTAGCGACAAACCGGAACATTTAACCAAAACCCATAACCAGTGGTGCCAATCCTACCAGCTATTCAAAGAGTTTGAACTAATACAGGCGCGATTTGGACAAATCGAACCAACAATGCCTACGAAAATACTTCGTGACATACCCAGCGCATGCTGCAACACAAAACAGATTTTAAGCAAATTGGATTGCGGTATGAAAATTTAAGTTTTTTGTTGTTGTAATTTTATTAATACGATATTTTTGTAGCAGCTGTGC